AGGCAACCTGGCCATTCCCCTTCCCTAACCTCCCACCTGCTGGGTCACCAGCCCTAGCTCTGGCCAAGGTGAGGATGCTCAGCAGGCCCCTTCTCTCTGTTTCTGACCAGAGGCAATTAAATGGTGGTCAGTGGGGTTAATCTGAGAGACCAGTGACAAAATGCGCTGGCCTTCTGGCAAGCAGGTGTAAAAAACGTTTCTAAGCTTTGTTTTTCCAGAATCTTGAAATCTGTCTACATAGAGGTCACGCGGCTCAGTTGAACAAGGCTTGGTAACCTTTGTATTTATTGCCCCACAACTTACCACCTGTGAGATCTTGGGCAAATCACTAAACTTCCAAATCAGTTTATATAAAATGGGATCATTATATCTTCTCAGGAGGATTTAATGGAATGTCTGTATCATAGATAAAGTATAACTGTGCTTTATAAATAACAGTATTATTCCATTGTCAGACCTTCCTTTTTTCTTTTCTGTTGAGCTTTTAAAATTATAAGGGGCTGGCCGGGTAGCTCAGTCAGTTAGAGTGCAGTGTTACAACACCAAGAGCATGAGTTTGGATCCCCATACTGGCCAGCTGCCAAAAAATAAAATTATAAAAGCTAATACTAATTGATAACCCTTGCCAGTCACCGTTCTAAGTGTTTTATACATATTGACTCATTTAATCCTCACAATTACCCTAAAAGCAGATGTTTTTACCGTCCTCATTGGCAGTCGAGGACACAGAGGCCCAGGGAGACCAGTAACTTACCTCCCCCCTTGACTGCTGAGTAGCACAACTGCAGTCTGCACCCCGACATTCTGCTCCAGTGTTTATGCTCTTTACCCTGACTCTGTCGCCTCACAACTATTCGTGATTCTGTTCCTTAGGCTCATTGAGCACGAGCGTGCGCCAGGCCATTCCTACTACATATGCACTTGTTGGCCTGCGGATGAGAGAAGAGGAGCTAGAAATGGAGCCAGCTAAGGAGGGTAATGGTAAGGCTGAGGCTGCCAATCACTCATTCCTTGATAAAGTAGAGGAGCAGACAAAGATTTTTATGAAGGGTTTGGATCCACTTATGGGTGAAGGCTCTGTAATAGATTATTAAGGAGACAAGGATATCAGGGTATGTGGACAGTGGCAATCTTGTCAAAGGAAAGACCAATGAGCTCTCTCACTGGCCCTTGGGGCCCCTGGCAGAAATGGGCTAAGCGACTTTTGGTATGATCTAAGGTGGCATTTCTTTTTTTTTTTTTTTTTTCCTTTTTGTCTTTTTTCGTGACCGGCAACGGATCGCAACCCTCAGTGTCGCGCCCGTACCGGACCGGGACCAGCAACGGGATCGCAACCCTCGGTGTTGCGCCTGCACCTCACTCAGCCAGTGAGCGGGAACCGGTCTGTATGTGGGATCCGAACCCTCGGTGGGAGCGCCGCCGCGCTCCCAAGCGGCACGCTGTAGCAGTCTGCCACCAGGCCAGCCCTAAGGTGGCATTTCTATTGGATTAAATGGTGTGTTCTAACATGAGTTAGGCTGCTCTAACAAAATGTCCCCAAAATATAGTGGCTTAAGTGAGAAGCTTATGCCATCTGTGAAAGTCTGGGTAGGAGGTCCAGGTTGGCTTGCTGACTTGATGGTATCACCTGCCTCTTGATTCTCCCGCACCCCATCTGCTGGGCCCGCATTCCAGCCATGGGGAAGAGGGAGAGGGGAGGTGTGTGTGAAGTAAACCTCTCACCTTCCTCCTAAGAGCAAGACCCAGCCACTGCAAGGGAAGCCTTTTACTAACACGGAACCCACAGACGTGGCACTGTGGATGTAGCACTGTCGGCTCTCCCAGCTGATCCTAGAGGCCAGCAGTCAGGTGCTTCTCCAGAATCGGGTCCTGCAGCACCTCACAGAACCAGTGAGTCCAACCCAGCTTTTGCCTCTGGCATGTGACCATGTTGGCCACCCCGTCCTTCTTCAGAGTTGTTCCTTTGGCTTCCAGGACACTGCCCCCCTTTCCTTGTTATTATACCTCTTGGCCTTCCTTTTCTTTGCTGGCTCTTCCCTCCAACCCGCCTGCCTGTGGATGGCCCCACACGCTCTGTCTCTGCTCATACATAGAGATGGCTCATCTGCCCCTCCACCTCCAGCCATTACGTCCCCAGGAGGGCTCAGCAGCCAGCTGTCTGGTTATGTTTCAAATACAACATGGTCAGATTTAATTTGACTCTCCCCGAACCACTTCCACTTGGCAGCTTTCCCACTTCAGACAGAGGTTAGAACAGTGAGGATAATAGCAGACCACCCTTGAGTGCTTACCTTGGGCCAGAACTGCAGGCTCAACATCGTTATCACATCTTCCCAGTCCCCCAGCCCCCAACCAAAACACTTTTCCTTGTCCATCTGTATACAGTTGGTCACCAAATCCTACCCCCTCTTCTTTCCTGGCCAGTTGGATGCCACCTTGCCCAAATGGCTGCAGCAGCCTCCCTGTGTGTCCCCAGCCTGCGACTCCACCAGGCTCATCTTCCTACAGACCCTAGTTTTGTCAGTTCTCTCCCTGCAGTGGGACTTAGTTCCTCCCTACTGCTTCTCACGCCAGGGCCAAACTGCCCAACCTGGCTTTCGAGGTCCTCTGCCAATTCATTGTTTCTTTTGGATAAGTCATTTCTTTCATTTATTCAACAAATATGGATCTAGTACCTTTGTGTGCCAGGCACTGTGTCGCTGTAAGGATACCCTGGTGAAAAAGACAGACTTGGTACCTGCCTCCAGGGAGTTCATTCTAGTTCAGTCTAGCAGACATATAAAGAAACAAAACCAAACACATAACAGACTGTAGCAAAGTGCAAATAAGGCCATCAGCGGGATCTTTATGCCCTGAAAAGAGAAGCAACACTGTCACATCCTCTGCCTTCTTAAGCCTTTCTGCCCATCACCTCCTAAAATCTTGCCTGTCATTCCAGCCTCTGTAGCCTCTCTCCAGATTTCATTGATTCTTCCCTTCTTCAGTCACTCACTGAACATTTATTGAGCTTCTACTACATGCAGATGCTGATACAGATGTTGGGGTACAGCAGAGAATAAAACAAGGTCCCTACCTCCTCTGAGCTTAGGGTCTAGTTGGGGGACAGACAGCTCACAACAGACATGTAATGTCAAGTGGTGAATTAGGGTCCTGAAAGGAAAGTGGTAGGATACCCGGACTGGGTAATTCGAGGAAAGTTTAATAAAGGCATTACCTCCAAATTGTGGGCCACGTACAGGGGAACCACAAGGGACAGCATAGTACTTGGGCTACCAACAGGGAAGGGAAGGAGCAGTTATCAGAACCTGGGGAGTGGCCCATGTGAGAGCCTTCTGCCAAGAACTGAGGCATTAGGCCCAGGAGCCTAGTCAGCATGCAGCAGCCCCACAGGGAGGGAGCCAACTGGGGAAATTAATACCTGACCTCACTCTCCTTCCTCCTTCCTTCCAGCATCCTGCCTGCTCTCTGCTGAACAAAAGCCAGAGGGTATGGGGCCTGTTGATGCAGGCCATACCAGGCCAGCCTCCCAGGGCAGAGCGTAGGGTGGATGTGGAGGGGCAGATGAAAGGAGCAAAAGGGCCTCCGTGGGAAGGAGCTAGGTGCTGCAGGGGCTGCTAGTTTAGAAAGATTGGGGAAGGAAAGTTCCCTCTGAGCAGGGCTCTGAATGCATTGCTGGTGGAGCCAGCATGTGGAAAAGCATTGCAGGAAGAGGGACAGCAAGTGCACTTGCTCTGGGGCAGGAGCATGTGTGTGTCTGGACAGCAGAAGGCCATGCTCTGAGGCAAGAGGAGCAGGAGGCAGGTGTGGGAGAGGGTTAAGGGAGGAGCCAAGCCTCCTGGGCCTGAGGAAGGGCTTCAGATGTTTTTCAGAGGGAGGTGGGTAGCAAGGGAGCGACAAGAACTGACTTAGGATCATTCTGGCTGGAGTGCGGGATAGAAGACACTAGTTCTCTGAGTCATGTAGTTTGACTTTTTCCAAACACAATTCAGCAGGAGACAGCTAGCTATCCTGAAATGGGGAGGAAATTAGTCCTGGCCCTAAGACAGCCAGCCAGCTGGTCAACCAGCCGAGTGACTACTGACCACAGGCTGAGCCCTGTACCAAGGGAGAGGGAGGAAACACAAACCCACAGATAACACCCTTTCCCCGAGAGTTAGCAGTGTAGTCAGGGAGACAGATAAACACACAGGAACCTGTTGTAACTCCACTTACCAAGACAGAGGTGAACAACTGTCACTAGTGGGTTGGACTTAAGGACTGAAGCCTATGCTGAGATCTGAAAGGGGTGGGATTAGTAGTTGAAGCTTTGGGAAGAGGTGAGGATGAGGCAGGGCCCGAGATAGCCTGAGGGAAGGTGGGTGAGGGGGGGCCCTATCTGACCCAGCCTGAGGGGACTCAACCACTGGACAAGGATGCCCAGGTGCCTGCACCAGCATAGCCCCCAAGGCTCCTGTGTCCCTCTTGTAACATCTCCTCTTTTGAGGCTAGTTTCGTGTCAGCTGTAACCAACTTTCTCCATTGTAAAGCCAGCAGACGATCCCTTAGCGGCCCTGGCCCTCAGATTGTACCCTAGCGAGGCAGGTTGGGTTTTGGAACAGTTCTGCCAGCTCCGAATCAATGTCGCCCCAGGGAAGGGGTCTTTTGAACTGATGGGCTTTCCTGCACCTTTCTCTAATTGGCCTTTCTCATTGAGGTCACCTGGGGCTCAGGGTTGGAAGGGGCCCTACCCCACTCCCCTATACCCAGGTGAGTTCTTAATGATCTTCAGAGGCATTAAATAGAAGGTCACAAAGATAGATAGAAGGTCAGGCTCCTCAAAGGCTCTTAGAAGTAGCTGTGTGGGTGCAAGAGGAACAGCCTGAGCTTTGTCACTTATATGCCATAATGGAAGAGCCCTGGGACCCCAAATTCCAATTCTATTTCTTTGGGGCTTTGTTATGCATTCATTTATGAATTTTCCTCAGCCACTGATAGCGGGTTTATCATTCTGCTTTACTCAGGCTCATACTGAAACATGTCTTTGAATCCTCTGAATGGCAGCTGACCATGCCCAGGTGTAAGTTGGGGGCAGCTGGCCCAGGGTAAAGATTTGCCATGGACACTCCCACTCCTGGAAGCAAGTTCAAGGTATTTTTCCTCCTCCTGGAGCTTGCAGCTTATCCTCACCTCATTTTACTACTACCTTTTCTTTTCCTCCTTTGTTAAAAAGTTATTTTAATTTTGAATTAGTAATATATGTATACGGTATTAAACTTTAAGACAGAAGAAGATGTAATAACTAAGCACCTTCCTCTTTCCCTGTCTCCCAGCTCTCAGTCCTCATCCTGGGAGGCTACTAGTATGTTACTATCAATATTATCTTATGTATCCTTCCAGAAATGTTCTGTTCATCAGAGCAAATGCTTTGCTTATATATATTTTCTCCCCTTTTTACACAATGGTAGATACTGTCTAAACTGTTCATGCTTTTTTCCACTTCTCAATGTATCTTTTGGTGATGTTCCCGTCAGTAATAAGAAGCTTCTCTCTCTCTTTCATGACTGCATAATGTTCCATTGTATGGCTCTACCATAACTCATTTACCAGTCCCCCGCTGATGGACACTTAAGTAGTTTCCATCCCTCTGCTGTTTCTCTTTCTTTTGTTTTGTTTTGTTTGAACGGTAAGGGGATCGCAACCCTTGGCACAGTGTGGTCTGCACCACGCTCAGCCAGTGAGTGCACTGGTCATCCCTATATAGGATCCGAACCCATGGTCTCAGCGCTACCAGCGCCACACTCTCCCGAGTGAACCATGGGGCCGGCCCCCCTCTGCTGTTTCAAGCCTTGACGCAGTGAGTAGCTTTGTGCATAAGTCATTTTGCACTATGTGCCTATTAGATGTGGACAGATGTTGCCCAGTCCTTCTCAGAAGATGTACCAATTTACACTCCCACCTGAGGGCCTGTTTCCTTACCCTCTTGCCACCTCAGTGTTGTGGAACTCATTAAACTTTGCTGGTTTGAAAGGTAGAAAATGGTATCTTATTTTGGTTTTATTTGACAGGAGTTGAGTGTTTTTTCCTATTCCTTTTATTGTAAGAAACGTGTATGTATCAGCTGGAACTGGGAACATAATCACCTGCAGAGGTGCACCCAGGTGCTCTGCCATCACAGAGGAGGGAGCGCAAGGTCTTCTTGGACTGGGACTTCAGGAAGAGCATCGCAGGGCCGGTGACATTTGAGTGGTAGCTTAAAGTTGGCCAAGTCAAGCAAAGGAAGGAAGGACAGAGAGGACAGAGAACACAACACGTGAGGGAGTGGCAAGGGCTGAGTGTGTAAACGAAGGTTGAGGATAGACTTAAGGGCCTCGCTGGCCTCGCTGAGGGGTTTGCATATTGATCCCGTAAGGGTCAGAGGTGCAGATGAGAAAACAAGATGTATTTTGGAACAAATCCATTTACTGAGCACTTGCGACATACCAGGCACTGAGCTGAGCACTTCACACAGATTAACTGTGAATGCTCCCAATAATGTGATGAGGTTGGTACAGTTATTCTCCTATTTACACATGTATCGTCCCTTTTATTAATAGTACTATTATTTTTGCTGCTTAACAGAAGAGGACACAGAGGCTTAGAGGTTAAGTAACTTGTGTGCGGTCACCAAGCTACTAAATGGCACAGATGGGCTTCAGTCCCTGCTCTCTCCTAGTCACGTGCCCACCTCCTGCCACCAGAAAACAGCAGGTCAGAGCCAGCTTATTTTTTGGATGGGAGGGAGAGTACTGCCTCTCCTCAGATCTAAAGGGGACAGAGCCTTCCACAGGGAACAAAGGCAGTTTTTTGTTTGTTTGTTTGTTTGTTTGTGGCTGGCACGGGGATCCGAACCTGTGACTTCGGTGTTGCCAGCATCATGCTCTCCCAAGTGAGCTAATCAGCCAGCCCCAACAAAGGCTGTTCTAAGATACCAGGTGTCCGCCCACCACGCAACCCATGACACCAGTTTCTGAAGTATCTTCCAAATACGCTGTGTGTATCAAGCAAAAGAGACACACATTTTCTCCTTTTTTTTTTTTTACACAAATGGTAGTGTACTGTGTATACTCTTCTGCTCTTTTTTTTTCTCTCACTATTTCTTGAAGTCACTCCATATTGATACATAAAGAGCTTCCTCATTTGTTTTTATGGCTTTAGAATATTTCATTGTAGGTCTTGTCCTAATTTATTACCAATTCTCTATTTAGAGATATTGAAAATATTTCCAACAAACATTGCCGCAATGACATGATGCCATTTTGCTGGTATGTATGTAGGCTAACTTCCTAGAAGCAGAATTCTTAGCCCACAATATGAATGTATTTCATATGTTGGTAGCTGCTATGGTCTGAATGTTTGTGTCCCCCCCAAAATTTATGTTAAAATTCTAACCCTGAAGGCAATGGTATCAGGAGGTGGGGCCTTTGGGAGGTGATTAGGCCATGCGGGCGGGCCCTCATGAATGGGATTAGTGTCCATACATATATTATATTTTTAATAATGGCTACCTTTTAGGGGGAGGGAGGGCGGCTGGCTGGTATGCGGATCCAAACCCTTGACCTTGGTGTTATCAGCACCATGTTCTAACTAATTGAGTAACCAGCCAGCCCTAGTGTCTGCATTAGTGCCCCTATAAAGGAGACCCCGGAGAGACCCTCTCCCCCTCCAGCAAGAAGGCACCGTCTGTGAGCCAGAAAGCAACCTTGATCTGCCTTGATCTGGGGCCTCCCAGTATTTAGAACTATGATAAATAAATTTCTGTTGTTTATAAGCAACCCAGTTTAAGGTACTTTGTTATAACAGCCTGAAGAGCATAAAACAGCACTTATAGCCAAATGTCCTCCACAAGGTTGTAGCAATTTAGTCTCTCTCCAGGAAAAAAAAAGAGCCTGTGTCTCCATAGCCAAGCAAACACGTGTGTTTTTATCTTTTGCCAATCTAAGTGAAAAATGGTATTTCAGAATAGCTTTAGTTTGTACTTCTGTTATGACTGAGATGAGCTTTTCCATGGTGTGATTTTGAAATTCAGTACCCCCAGTACTATAGACTGGCTGAGGAGGGAGCCAGGAACACCAGGCTTTCTCTGCTCCGCCTGGGGTGACCCACCGACCTTTCACCTTGGGAATTGTGCTGGTGTGCTATGTGTGCAATGAGTAACTCCTGAGACTGGCTCTCACGGGGAGGAATAAGCCGTATAAACCATCACAACTGCATCCCTGACCTGCGTAATCCGCTCTCTGATGCCAGAGCTGCCCACTTCCTGGGTCATCCTCTCCTGATGATCCAAATGAAACGAGTGAAGCAGCCTTCCTTCCTGCATTCCTTGAGGCCAGATACATTCTGGAGAATTATCAGACTTTGTCCTAAGCCACCAAGTGCTCCCAAGGACGTCAGCCTCCAGGACAACAGCAGCAAACATCAAAAAAGACACACATGTAGGCAAGCCCAAGTTTGTGTTCCTTCCAACTCTTGCTGGTGCAGGGCACTGTCCCCACAGGCTTGTCAGAGACAGTGATACCTGGGCCCAGGTGACAGGGCAATCTGCAGCCCTCTGGAGGATCCTTCAGCCAATCCAGACGACATGGACCCTATCCTCGAGAAGCCAAGAGTCCATGTGTGCCACGTCTTGTGACCTCACCTGAAGCCTTCCTCTGGCTTCACAGAATGCTCTGGAATTCTGGGATTTTGTCAGGGAGTATGTCTCCTGCTTATCTGAGGGAGGCCCATATCCCTCCTGAGCTCTTAGAAGCACCCAGGAGCCCCAGTGTCCAATAGCTTCTCCTCGCAGGGCATGGCTACACAGTCATCTCCAGCCCAGACACTGGCTGTCAGGCCCACTCCCAGCTCAGCAATCCCTTCCCTCTGAGTGTCTCTCCCTCAAAAATGTGATTTTTCTTTTCTTTTCTTTCTTTTTTTTTTTGTTGGCTAGCCCATACAAGGATCTGAACCCTTGACCTTGGTGTTATCAGAACTACTCTCTCCAAAGTGAGCCACCAGCCAGCCCATCTGATTCTTAAATAATAATAATAGCTTACTTTATATAGTGTTTACACTTATGTACCATCTACTATGTGCCAGGTACTATTTAAGTACTTTATGTATTTTTTCCTGCTGGCCAGTTATGCTTAGTTGGTTAGAGCACAGCCTTATAACACCAGGGTCACGGGTTCAGATCCCCATAGTGGCCAGCAGCCAAAAAAGAAAAAAACTCTCTCTATATACTTTTGTTTTTATTTTCCCTTATTTATATTAACTCATATAATAAATAGGTACCATACAATGGCTGGCCAGTTCGTTCAGTTGGTTAGAGCACAGCCTTATAACACTGAAGTCATGGGTTCAGATCCGCATACCGGCCAGCTGCCAATAAATAAATAAATAAATGGATACAGTACAAAACTCAGAATGTTCAAAAGGATAAATAGTAAAAACCATTGTCTTCCTTCTCATCTCGTTTCTTCAGTCACCCCATTCCCCACCCCAGATACAGCTACTATTACTGCCCTTGTGTGAGACCCTTAAAAGCTATTCTCGAGTATATAGGCACACAGGTATATGTTTTTTCATTGTTGTTACACAGGTTCTGTATCTTTAGAGTTTTTCCACTTAATTTTCCTTGGTTTTCTTCTCACTCCCCGAGATTCTTACCCCCTTTCCCACCTCTAAATGCTGAGTGCTCGCTGTGATGGGGTGGAAATACGACTGACAGCCATTGGAGCCCAGGAGGCCGGCGGCCAGTCCGAGATTCTTACCCCCTTTCCCACCTCTAAATGCTGAGTGCTTGCTGTGATGGGGTGGAAATACGACTGACAGCCATTGGAGCCCAGGAGGCCGGCGGCCAGTCCCCTGCCCTACCACTTGATGAACTGCAAATGACTGAATTGCTCTGAGTCCCACCTTGCTCATCTATAAGTTGAGCTAATAATGCCTCAAAGGTGTCATTGAGAGATATGATATTAGGGAGGATTATGGCTCGTGCTAACATTATTCCCAGGTGAGCTGCCTCCCTCCCCCAGGGATGTGGTCACCTGGTGGTTGGACAGAGCTGGGTTATGGACCAAGCGCACATCCTGAAAGTGGAAGTGATGAACAGGAACAGGATCAGGAGGTGTTCATAAGCCCCTTAACTTGTCTCATAGATGCCTGAGTGGAGAGGGAGAGAGAAGGGTGAGGTAGGGGGGCTATGTTCTTTTTAGCCTCTGTTTCAGTTGCTGGCACTGATGATTCAGTAACTCTTTTGAAAGTTTATATGGGCACCTCCCCTGCCCCCAAGAGAGCCCAGCCCTAGAAATAGCCTGGGCCTCCAGCCCCCTTCACTGCAGAGCTTTCTA